GAAGCACTGTCTGACGCGTCTGCCTCCGCGACTCGAAAGGAGAAGCGGCGATGGAAGATGAAGATGAAGACAATTTATGGCACCGATGTTAGACTATACTAACTATAACTATAACTATGACTATGACTATAAATGACTATACTATAACTTTCAGAACTCAATCTGCGCCGCAGACAAATGAAAGCTACTAGCCCTTCGGGTCCCATACGCAAATAGAAAATCTTCACTTAACAAACCAACGTTTTGCCTGACCAGACATCGGATTCTCATCAGAGTAGAAACAGAATTGACATATATGGTCTATATCTTGAGAAACTTATATATGGACTGAAGTATTTTAATTTATAGTCTAAGAGCATGCAGGTTATAAACCGAGGGGTCATTCGAAATTCCGCTTCCGAAAATGACGACCTTTCCATTTTCGCGGCATACAATATTTACATTCTAAACGCGATTTAAAGTACTGGAGATGAAATGGTTGCCCTTCTGGGAGAAGGGCTGAAGGAAAGCTGGCTTAACAAGCTAAATCATTGGGTATATTATCTGGAGCAACGGTTAATAGTATAATCATATAATGGGGCCATCAATGATAAAAGCTCTGCAAATGACGGTGGATGAACCAATTAATATATTACAAAGTACACTGAGCTCTCAGCAGCTTGCAGATTGTTGTTGATAGTGATCGTCATCTTCGAAAACTTTGCGAACCTGCGGACTATTTAAAACTTATGATATACGCTCATCTTCACCTATCTCATTTTGATGTTGGAAGCTATTCTCTGCGTCGACTAAGGCAAGATTTCCAATCGACAACAGCTGTTTGTTTAGTTTTCTCTGCTGTGACTTTAGCCAGGTGCTGGCTGCCATTTTTTGACCATTACGGCGGGATTCCCACGTCAGCAGCTGACGAGCCAGGCGAAGCCTCACCGCTTCCTCAGCATCATCGATGCGTCTGCGTCTCTGAGGTCTGAGAGTGGCAAGATTCGATTGTTCTTATGTAGTCGTGTCACTTTACCTTTAACGGCTGGCAAAACCAACATTTTCGCAGGCTTCCAGTTGATGTTCATGTGCTCTTCTGGGTGCAGTAGTTTTCGAACCGTACGATAGAACCGGTCTGGCAACAGCCCAATGAAATCGATATTCCTCTTTAAGTCTGAATTTTGCAAGGCTAGTGGAGGTTGATGATGCCAGCGCGGATCTTCTTCTGTTCCATTTCTGTTCACAGCTCCAATTCGTCGAGATTATGGCGGTCAGATATTCGAACTGCGGGTATTCTTCAATGACACCAGTTCTACAGTATCTTCGGAGTTCCTCATCATTTTTGTCTTTGCTGAGTTCTGCTGAAGGTGCTTTGCTGAACGAGTGAATGCCGTCATCGCTGTCGCCCACTATAAGACGATACGATCGGCTTAGTCCAAGTCGATTCTGTACTTGACAGGGCATTCCAAGCTTTGCCTCCGTTTCTACAGCAGGTCATCCACTGAGTGGCACTCAACACTGTTTCGTAGGGGAAAGAATGCCGCCTTAGCTGATTAAGGCTTTGATCCCGAACCAATCCAATTCCGTTCGTTGGCTTACACAACGCTGATCGTGCCATGGTACATGCTTCCCATAACGGCAACAATCTGCTTTGGAATGCTGAGGTTGCATGTTACCCTCCAAATCGTTGGGCGGTAAATGGTTGAAAATGAACGAGAC